GATAAATAAGATAATGCCCTCTTTTTTTTTTTTTTTGCAATGCTCAGGATAGAACCCAGGGCCTTGCACATGCCAGGCAATCGTTCTACCAGCTCCATCTCCAGCCTTTGCCTTTTAAAATTATTATTATATTATTATTATACTGTGGGTACATTGTGACAATTACAAAATGTTTACAATATATCATAGTTGAATTTTCCCCCTCCATCATTCTCCTTTATCCCTCCTCCTTTATTCCTGGAATACTTTCAGCAGATTTCATTTTTCCATTTTTATACATGAGTACATAATATTCCCTCTCCTGTACCTTTCCTTATAGCCTCCCCACTCCTACTGGTACCAACTCCCAGACAGGACCAGTTGTACCTTCTTGTCCTCTGTTTTTGAACAAAAGGCCTTTTTGGTTTTCTTCCTTGCCTTCTTTTGAAGGCAGTTACAATAAAGTTAGTAGATATAGACAGCAGAATGAATGAGTTGAATGTCAGTGCTGTGATATGAGATAGAATAGGGGACATCAAAGTGGGAACAAGTTATCTGTTCACTAGATGCTAGATTTTGAGGATGCAAAAAAGTTTTAAAAAGAAATCAAATAACCTTGTCCCCTTCACCAGAGTCACACAACCCTGTGGATGTTAAAAAAAAAAAAAATCCTTTTTTGGAATGCCTGAAAGATTGCACTTTCTCAGAGATTCCGGTGAGATAATCTGTGATTTGGAAACCCTCAAAGCTCTGCAGTGGAAACGTCGTCAGGCAGGGGCTGGCTGCACCTCTGTGGTGGAGTGCTTGCCCAGCATGTGTGAGGCCCTGGATTCTACCCCAACACTGCAAAGAAAATAAAATACTGTCAGTCAGGAAAAGGATTAGTTCATGCACAGCTACTGTTAGAAGAGTAATCTGGAGTTTCTTGGCAATTCCCCATCATCAACTCAGGCCTAAGATTGGCATAAAATCTGACTATGTTTTAGAGTAAAGCAAATGGAGGCTGACATTATTTATTTCTCTTCTTTCTCCTCTGCCTTTCCTTCCTCCATGTAACAATTTAAAAACAAACAAAAGCCACCCAATCTGTGAAGACTGCCACAATAGCTGCAGAAATGGCATAATTCCCATTCTCAACTATTGTCACAGAATGTGCTGCTCCAATGGTAGAAGCTGGTACATTGGGTAGTTGCCCCACACAGAGTTGGGCTATTAAATTAAAACCAGCAAATTTTTGGTTCTCTATTGAACTGGCGATGGGAGCCTCTCCAACATGTGCTGGAGAGAATATTGCAAAGGATATCACATAAAGCAAGGAAAAGAGGTAAGTTTTGCAGTAAGAAGTGTCTGGAACATATAGAAAAGAAGGCTGCTTTCCTATTTCCAGAGATTTGAGCCAAGACATGGGAATTGTGGGAAGAAAGTTTATATGTTCTTGTTATGGCACAGGCTTCCTATTTCCACCTTTGGTGGGAAAATTTTACACAAGGGTGTCTGAAGTTCTATTTTAAGTGTGTTCATTTTGTTCTTTCAATAATCATTGGGTTGGACCCTGGGGCCACAGAAATGACTGGCACGAAGTCTACACAAGCTGGAATTGAGGGAGAAAAATGAGACCCGTAAGGTCATTAATTGTATTATGGGAAGTCCATTGAGGGTGAGTTGGAGGGCAGGAGGCATTTTTTTTCTATGGAAAAAGTACATTAAAGTTTCCAAGCCACCAACCCAAAGCTAATTTTCAACTTTGGCTTTTTTTTTGGGAAGGGGGGTGGTATGTAGGACTGGGGTTTGAATTCTGAGCTTCACACTTGCAAATCAGGCTCTCTACTGCTTGAACCACATCTCAAAGCAAATTAACCATTTTCCTCTGGTTAATTTGGAGATGGAGTTCCATGAACTATTTGACTGAGCTGATCTCAAACCATAAGCCTCCTAATCTCAGCCTCCTAAGTAGCTAGAATTACAGGTGTGAGCCACAAGTGCTCAGCTTAATTTTTACCTTTCATATGGCCAATAATAATAGATAAGCTTTATTGAGACTTTATAAGCCCTTGGAAGAAATCTATGCCTTTAAATGTACATAATCCTTTCAATAGCTCTATGAGGGAGTATTTTATGACTACTGTTATATTTGGTGTTGAGGATTGAACCCAGGACCTGGCATGGTAAGCACATACTCTACCACTGAGCAGTACCCCCAACAGAGGTAGTATTATTATCATCTCCATTTTATTTTATTTTGTTATATTTTTTTTTGGTGAGCCTGGGGTTTGAACTCAGGGCCAAAGCAGGTACTCTACCATTTGAGCCACACCGGCAGCCCATTTTGCTCTGCTTATTTTGGAGATGGCGTCTCATGAACTATTTTTCCAGGGTGGTCTTCAACCTCGACCCTCCCAATGTCAGTCTCTTAAGTAGTTAGGATTACATGCGTGAGCCACCAGTACCTGGCTATCACCTCCATTTTAAATAGATGAGTGAATAAGCATGAGGAAATTGAGTGATTTGCTTGAAAGACCTACCTGAGAGCCGCTATGCCATCTTTAAAATGAATGGAGAGGTTGAGCCCAGCTTGCTTAGTGTGTATCCCTAAGCTCCTCACTCAGGGGCCCTTTTTATTTATTTATTTATTTTTGGCAGTGGTAGGTTTGAACTCAAGGCCAGCACTCTACAGCTTGAGCCACTTTGGCAGCCAAGGGGTCCATTTTGGGTAGCTGTTTTTATTTATTTATTTATTTGTTATTTATTGTGAGATTGGGTCTTGCTATGTTCTCTCAAACTCCTGGGCTTAAGCAATCCTCCTTCCTTAGCCTCTGAAGTAGCTGGGACTATAGGAAGGTACCACTGTACCTAGCTTGCACCTGTACTTCATATCTAATTGTGCACATGGATGTATATATATCTGTTTCTTCTTGTTTATTCTACTTTTTGTGACAGCAGAAACTATGTCTTGTTTGCCATAGAATTCTCAGCATGCAGTATGGAGGCCTGTCCAAAACACTTGAATGAATATAAGGAAAGAGTGAATGAGGGCTAATATGGTGGAAATAGTATGTACTCATGTATGAAAATGGAAAAATGAGACATGTTGACACTGTTCTAAGAACAGGGGAATAAAGGAGATGATGGAAGGGGTGAATCTCACTAAGAGAGATTGTAAGCACTTTTGTAAATGTCACAGTGTACTCTAAGTATGACAACAATATGATAATTAAAAAAGATTTTATGTGAAAAAAAACAAGATAAAATTTAAAAAAAACAAAATATTTTTGAATGAATTAATATATTTAAAACTTTGAAATTCAGAATGAAGAATTCTTTGGGGGCACATTGACTCTTTTGTAGCATCTTTCACAGTGCTTTGCACAAGGTAGATTTTTTTTTGTGGTACTAAGACTTGAGCTCAGGACCTTACCCTTTCTTACTAAGCAGGCACTCTGCTACTTGAACCACTCTGCCAGCCCTATTTTGTGTTGGGTATTTTTGAGATAGGGTCTCCCGAACTATTTGCCCAAGGCTGGCTTTGAATCAACCATGATCCTCCTGATCTCGCCTCCTGAGTACCTAGGATTATAGGTGTAAAAATTAGATTCTTAATACATGTTTGAAGAAGAAATGATGAAATGGTTAATGTTTTTGAACAGGGATGGGATTTAAAAAAAATTTTTTTATTCATTTATATGACATGTGCATAGATTGTTTGGGCCATTTCTCCCCCTGCCCCTCACCCCTTCCCCCTCTCCAGGGATGGGTTTTAATGATTCTAAATTATTTTGCCATTTCATGTTATTGTAAATATATTTTGAATTTACTGTCCATTTAGTTCATTTTAAATTCTCTGGCTTTGGATTTTTCCAAGTTTATGTTTTCAGTGTTTTGCAAATTTAGTCAATTTTTTTTTTGGGTTGGGGTCTCACTGTGTAGTCCAGGTTGGCCTTGGACTCAATAACTCAAATCCCTCCTGCCTCAGCTACCTGAGGGTTGGGATTATAGGTTTGCTCCCCATGCCTGGCAACAGTGAATGCTTTTTAATAGATAAAAGCAGTTGCTGACTGTGTAGAGGGGTAAGAGTGTAGAATGATTTAAGATGATTCTAGCTTTCATTTGAGAAAGTGTTAAATGCACAGAACCAATCAATTAAACCTTCTCTCTTTGCTTAGTAAGATCTATTAATTAGACTGTGACTATCCTGAGTTCTATTCAGTAGTGAACACTTTCATCTCTGTTCTAACTTGTGTGTATAAAGTTATAGCCACACTTCTTTCTAATCTCACACCATATGGACTTAAAATATTTCCTGTTAGGATGAACCAACCTGTTCATGGGTTGGTTGTGTTTTCTGGTGGTGCCAGTGTATTCTGACTCTATATACTCTTTTTTTTTTTTTTTTGGTAGGGGTTTGAACTCAGGACTTTGTGCTTGCTAGATAGGCACCCTACCACTTGAACCATGCCTCCAGTCCCTAACTCTAGACTTCTAACACAGCCTATGGAGGAAGTTGATTATGTCTTGAATTTTGTGGAAAGGGAGAGGTTGTATTAGAAGGAGTGCATTGAAGCCCCCAACTTGGCTTCAGGGACAGTTAAGGTTGTGTAACATGAAGCGATCTTGCCCATGGTAAGCTATGCTTCCAGCTGTGTGAAGAATCTCACCAAGATGGCACCTCTCCTTTGACACTACTAACTTCTTGTGAAAATTTAGCCAAAGTGGAATTTTACAAGTGAGAATTTTGAAATTTCGAGTAGATTTAAGAGAACACGTGAATTTATCTCTATTAGGCTCTTGTTATTCAAGGTGAAATTCTGGCCCTTTGAGTACTTACATGTAAACATTGGGCTCATTTGCATGTGTATTATCTGCTATAGAAGCCAATAAATGCTTAGTCTATTTTGGGTTGGTTTTGGCATTTTAAGGAGCATCCATGGTACCTTAATACATCTTGCCTACCGGTGCAACTGTGGTTACATGGCTTTCTCACTTAGAGTGTAAAATAAAGTCACTTTCTGTTCTATTCTAGAAATCCTGGATTGAAGGAGTATTCAGCAAGAGAGAATGTAACAAATTCATACCCAGTTCAAAAGACCCTCACAAGTATGATTTTTAATTACATTTTTCTTTTTAAAGCAATGCTACTTGAGGACTGTTTGAAGAAATTTAGAAATATGTCTTGTCAAGAATGTTTGATAATATCTATAAATTAGCATTTATTAATTTTAGTACTCCTTTCACTTCATTGTAGACAATCTGGTAAGAAAAGGGACTGTAAATTTTGTGCCTCACTTGATATGACAATGTGTGTCACCAAGAGGGCTACTGAAAATATCTGTTTAACGAATTAACGAAGTATAAAGAGGAAAGAAGTTACACATAGTGACTTTACTGTTAAAATCTGGTGGATTTCATTCCACTGGATGCCCTGCTCTTCATGAGGGGGATTATAGATGTTATAGGGAAGTAATGCATCTCTTCCACCAAGTTTGAATGAACAATTTACAGGTATTTGGAATTGAATATTCAAAATATTGTGAAAAGCCTTTATCTCCAACTAAAGTATCTGTGGAAAACAGTGACTGTTCTGGACATTTCAGGACACTGTGCTTAGATGATGCAAACAGGTAATTTCAGTTCTATTTTCCTCCCATAGTCTTTTTGTTTGGGCAGAGAGTAGGCAGGAGAAGAGAGTGGTTTGATTGTAACCACTCTGAGTTCTTGACTACCCTTTGGAAACTCTACTTAGAACAAAGTTCACCAGGCAGCCTGTGAAAGATAGAGGAAGAAAGGACTACGGAAAATTCCCCAGGGTTATCAGGTTCATGAAAGTAAGATCGGATGTCATTGCCCTTAGGAGTCAAGAAAGACAATAGAAGAGCAATATTTTAATCAGGGATTCCTTTGAGTGGTTGACCTTATGTTTATCTAAAGTTTAGAAACCATAACTCTATGCTTATCAAGGTCAGCATGGTAAGGTTCTGAAATTCTAATTCTTTGGGGATAACACTATTTTAGTGTTCCTTGCCTTTGTTAAACATTGACTAGTCCCACCCTCGTTGAATTACCTATGGTTTGTGCGTCCTGTGATTGGAAATTTTCATTTTACCTGTTTATAAAATGTTTATAGAAGTTGGGCACCTGTAATCCTAGCTACTCAGGAGGCAGAGATCAGGAGGATAGAGGTTTGAAGCCAACCCAGGCAAATAGATCGTGATACCCTATCTTGAAAAAACCTTGAAAAAAGGGCGGGTGGAGTGGCTCAAGGTGTAGGACCTGAGTTCAAACCCCAGTACCACAAAAAAAAAAAAAGAACAAATGTTTCTAGAATACCAAGGTAACATTGCTTTTTTCTTTCATCTTTTACAATGAAAGAAATGTGATGGTGGGCACAAGGGAAAGCAGATTGAGTTCCAAGTGGCTCCTTTTGCTTCTGTAAATGGAAGATCATCTTTGCAATTACCTGGGACCTCACGAAAAGTGATAAAATTATTAAGTCTATGATTAGCCCACAGACTCAAGAAGAGATCACTGGGGCTGGGGATGTAGCTCCCTGATAGAGCATGTGCTTAGCATCCCTGTACCAGAAAGAAAAAAAAGAATACCATTGATCATAATTCTCTCCCTTGTTTTTAGTTTGCTATGTGGAAAAAACCTTTTTTTTTTCTTTTTGAGACAGGATCTCACTGTGTAGGCGGGTCTGTCCTCAAAATAATTGTCCTCCTGTGTCAGCCTCCCGAGTACTGGGATTACATGCATGTACCACCACTCCTGGCTCCACTGATCCTAATTATAGGAATTGTCCAGGCTTGCAATATTTTATGGAGAAAGAAGCAGTCTCTACTTTAGTGTGATTTAAAAAATTAATGGATGATAGTAGACATTCCTCTTACTCATCTTTTTCTTAGATCCTAGTAAGATTATCAAAAATGTTTTATTCAGCTTTCTTATTTACAGTGGACAGCAAAATGGTAGTAACTCATTTAAATTTCAATTAAATTTTATGTTTTATTGATTATTTCCACACATTTCTTTCTTTATTAGGATGTGACAGATTTGATTATAACATCTTTTTCTTAGAAAAGTAAAACTATTTTTTACCTTTTTCCTATTCTCTCTCTCTCTACATATAAGTATATGTGTCTGTGTATATATAACTTTAATTCACCCCCTCCATCATTTGCCTATATTCCCCCTCCCCCTTTCTTTTTTTTCTTTTAATACTAGGAATCAAACTCAGGGCCTTAGACATCCCCCAGCCAAGTAAAGAAAAACATTTTTTTTTTTTATAAAAAGAAGACTAAAGGACAGAACAGTTGCTCCTTAGATATCAAGACTCATTATGAAGATGTAATGATGGATAGCAGTGGAAGTAGCTCAATGACACCATTCAATTTGAGAGTACTTTATGATTTTAAAATTATTTTCATGTACATTTTCTTGATTCTCGAGAAGTCTGCTTTACCTCCATAGCTTAATAATAATAGTTACCATTTGTTACATGTACTGTAATGTACCAGGTGTTTGTAAGACACTTTATATTAGCTCATGTAATCTTTTTTCATCACCTAAATGTGTTAAAATCAGTTTCAGATATGAAAACTGAGGCCTAAAGGAATCACTAAATTGAGATTTAAAACATTTTTTTAAAAATTAAAAATTTTTTTTTCTTTTACTCTATGTGCATACAATGTTTGGGCCATTTCTTCCTCCTTCCCCCCACCCCTTCCCTCTGCCACCCACCCCCTCACTACCAGGGAGAAACTATTTTGCCCTTATCTCTAATTTTGTTGTAGAGAGAGTATAAGCAATAATAGGAAGGACCAAGGGTTTTTGCTAGTTGAGATAAGGATAGTTATACAGGGAGTTGAGTTGCATTGCTTTCCTGTGCATGTGTGTTACCTTCTAAATTAATTCTTCTTGAACTAACTTTTTCTCTGTTCCTGGTTCCCTTCTCCTATTGGCCTCTGTCGCTTTAAAGTATCTACATTAGTTTCTCTGCATTGAGGGCAAAAAATGCTATCTAGTTTTTTGGGTGTCTTACCTATCCTCATACCTCCCAAGTGTGCTCTCGCTTTATCATGTGATCAGAGTCCGATCCCTCAAGGAGATTTAAATACAGTATTTTGTTTCTAAATTCCATGTTCTATTAATTATATCATCATTGCTACAGTGCAATTATATATAGGAAATGACATATGGAAAATAAATGACATGAATATTCAACAAATCCTGACTTCCAGAACGTGGAAAAGAACAGATGTTTACTGTACAAGCTTTAAATATGATTTCAAATATATCAGTAAATTAAGAGGTGTTTTATTTCTTTAATTTAGATGTGCTCCAGGCTGTCAGGTCTGTCAGAATTTGGTCAGGTAAGATTTAGATAAATGAGTTCCTTTTGAACCATAAGGCACTGTGATGAAAACGCATTGGGACAGTTTCCTTACATCTGGAATGGACTCAGTGTAATGTGTATGTCATTTACCTTTCTCAAGGAGGTTTTAAAAAAAGAGATTTTTTTTTTATGAGAGAGAGGGATTATTTGAATGTAATGGACTATTTCAGTTACTGAAGCAGGTAAATGGTAAGAGCCTTTAGCAAGAGTGTCTGCCAATTGCAACACTTGTTAAGCCTTAAATTTTTATTTACTATCACATTGTATTTGAATAAAAATGAAACTCCTTGTGTATACAGTGATGCATTTGATCTATACCTTGCAAGTAATGTGTGTGTATACCAACCTTATGCAATACAAATTTTAACTGTGATATAGATTTTAAACCATATATTAGTAACTGGTTTTATCTTTCTTTTTTGTCAGCAGAGGGAAATGAGATTTCCTTGATTCTGATCATATCCTGAAGTTTATGGTTGAACCAATGTTAAACCTAGTGTTTTTATTTTATTAGTTTTTATTTTGAGATAAATAAGTTATCATTAAATTGCCCAGGCTGGCCTTAAACTTTTGATCTTCCTGCCTCAGCCTCCTGAGTGTTGGGCAATTGGGGGTTCTTGAGGGGAGATAGGGAGATTAGAATTTGTATTTCAGTATTTTATGATGTGGTTGATGTACTTTCTATACAAAATGAATATAGAATTTTAAACCTGTTGAAGTCACCATAAGAAGAGGACTAAAGCAGAAAGGAGAAAAATGGAGGGAATGAACCAATTTAGGTTATAATGCATATATATATGGAAATGTCACAACGAAACTCTATAGATATCTTAAACAAAATGTCTTTTTTCAAAAATGAAAGACAGAAAGGTAAAATAGGTCCTTTCTGGGGGTTGATACTAATGGGGGAGGGGAGGATGTAAGGAAGGGTGTAGGAGGGTGAATGTGGTGGAAATACTATGTATTTATGTACGAAAATGGAAAAATGAGACCGGTTGAAACTATTGCAGGAATGGGAGGGGGGAAGTGGAATAAAGAAGAATGATGGAGGGGATGAATTTAACTAAGATATATTGTAAGCACTTTTGTAAATGTCACAATGTACTCCCAATATAACAATAAGATGATAATAAAATTTTTTAAATCTAAAAAATAACTAAAATTTACTAATATATTTTTAAATTTCACATGGTTCAAAAAGTATAAAAAGATATACAGTAAAAAATGTCCTTCTTTCCCCTGTCCCTAGGGAGGCAGCTCCGTCCTCTCCTGCTCTCATGGTTCCTACTGTTATTAGTTTCTTGTGATTCCTTTCAGAGTTGTTAGTCCATATATAAGAAGAGTAAATGCATATTTTAGTTTTTATTCAGCCCTCAGTTTTCCATAAACATTCAGATCATAGTAGATAATGCACCATGCAGGCTATTCTCAAATACAACCTTTTCTCTCATCTGTAGACCTTACAGCTCTTTCTATAGCAGCACAGAGAGAATTTTCTGTGTTACAGAATGTGGATGTGTTCTAACTTATTTATTTCATTCCTTATTGGTGGGTGCTTAGGTTATTTAGCTATTTGCAATTTTCTGCAATTATGAACAGAGCAATAATTAATAACTTGGGGCACCTATAATTTCACTTATATAATATTAATATTATATTATATTATATTAATATTATAGTGTTATATTAATATTTAATATGTGCATTGACATTAAAAAATGATATATATGGGTGTATGATTAAAAGTTTTTTTCATAGATGTAGTAGTCTTCACACATTTTATTGTGTATTGTATCATTAAACCTTTAGGGATATGTATCCCAATATACATATTTCATATGCGTATGTTTATTTATAAATGCACTATTGTGCTAATATATTGCATACTTTGTGGAAAAAAATAAAGAGCCATAAAGGGAATATATAGATGAATAATATTGAAGTATTTTATTTTATTTGAGTCAATAATTCCTCACACAATACTATTATTGAAAATTTAAAAGGAGGGGCTGGCTCAAGTGTTTGCCTAGCAAGTGCAAGGCCCTGAGTTCAAACCCCAGTAACACCAAAACATTTAAAAAATAAAAGTAAACTAAAATTTTAAAAGAAATAGAGTTGGGTGTGGTGGTACACTGTTGTAGTCCCAGCTGCTTAGGAGGCTGAGGCAGGAGGATCCTTTGACCTCACTAGTTTGAGGCCAACCTGGGTAACATAGTGAGATTTCATCTCAAAAACAAAAAAGAGATACAAAAGCCTATTATATGTTTATTTCACCTGATCATGTGGTTCACAGGGAACTTATATGAGCAGTAAGAAGAAGTATTGCTTTTGTTGTTATTTTCTTGTGCTGATATTACTAGTATTATTTTTAGGTGTAGTTTCATTTTCAGTTTGTTTTAGTGGTGCTGGGGTTTGAACTCAGGGCCTCACACTTGCTAGGCAGGAGCTCTACTACTTGAGCCACTCTGCCAGTCCTTTTTTTGTGTGTGTGTTAGGTATTTTTGAGATAGGATCTCGGGAACTATATTTCTGGGCTGGCTTTGAACCCCAGTCCTCCAGATCTCTGAATCCTGAGTAGCTAGGATTATGGGTGTGAGCCACCAGCACCTGGTTTAATCTTTCCTTTAAAATAATATTACTTATAATAACTTATTATTTATGTTTACAGTCAATTCTCTTTCATGGCTCTATGTCCATATACATTTCCAGTGTTGGGTCTATGTTGACTTATGTCTTTAATGTTATATCTTTTTTTGACTGATTCATTTTGATGTGAATATTGTGTTTTATGTGAGATTCCTTACTTTCCTTAAATATATATATACATATATATGTATAAATCTATCTATCTGTCTATTTTTTTGCGGTACTGGGGCTTGAGCTGAGGGCCTATACCTTGAACCACTCCACCAGCTCTTTTTGTGATAGTTTTTTTCAAGATAAGGTCTCGCAAACTATTTGCCCAGGACTGGCTTTGAACCACGATTCTCCTGATCTCTGCTTCCTGAGTAGCTAGGATTACAGACATGAGCTACCGGTGCCTGGCACTTTCCTTAAGTATTACATAGCAGATATTTATTTTTAAGTTTTTGGAAAAACAACTTTATTGTGATGTACTGGACCTAGAATAAAATGTACATATTTGAATACCTATAATTTGATTTTTTGCCCTCTTAACCGCTTTAAACTTTACAATGCAGAGTTCAGCAATGTTCAGTACATTCATATTATTGGGCAATGGAACTCCAGAACTTTTGGTCTTGTAAAACTGAAACTCCATGTCCATTAAAAGACTCTCCATTGCCCCAGCCCCTGGCAACCATCACTGTACTGTCAGTCTATGAATTTGACTTCTTGAGATAACTGGAATCATACAGCATTTATCTGCTTCTGTCCTGGCTTATGTCAATTAGCATAATATCCTCCAGGTTCATCATTTGGCAGCAGGTGTCATAATTTCTTCCTTTATTAAGGCTGAATAATACTCCAGCACAAGTGCACTCTACATTTTACTTACTATTTATCCACAGGTGGACATTTGGGTTTCTCCCACCTCATGACTATGGTGAATAATGCTGCTATGAATATGAGTGTGCAAAAGAATTTTAATATTTTTTAAATAGTCCCCAAATGATTTTTATGTCCAGTCAAGGGAGACAACCACTGATGGTCTTTCTAAGTCTAGAATATAATCCAATTTTATAAGATTAGTGTAAATCTTAATGTGGCATTTTAGGAATTATCAATATGTGGCATCTATACCTTACCCTAAGAAAATGTAGAAACATTACACCAATTTTCGACTCTGAAGTTTTTTGTTTTCCTGAATTTAGGTGCTACTGTGGCCGGCTGATTCAAGAGCATAATGGGATAGATTATGCCTGGACCCTCTCAGCTGCCCAGGGTAATGAAAACGAGCCATGGTCTATTGAAAAGCACACAGTGAAAAGCCCTACAGACACCTTTGGCACCATTAATTTCCAAGATGGAGATCACATCTACCACTCCAAGGTTTGTTAATAGCCCAAATCATTTTGCTGATTTTAAAGAATAGGCGGCAAATGTATCTCCAAGGGCAGATAGAAAGATGACCTGTCTTCGTTGAGGGCACCATGTATGCATCTCCTTGTCACAACTAGCCTGATGCTCTCTTCCCTTACCATACAGGTGTGGTGAGCCTAGCTCTGTGTTTGACTCATCTCTTTCAGAAGCTTATGCCTGCCACAGAAGAGAATGGCTATTGCCCTTGAGTCAATTGCCAAAGGACTGACTTTTTTCTTAAGGAATGCAGAAAAGTTACTGAACAGGAGCAGGCTCTGTAAGTCAGCATTCTGTTACTATACTAAATGCTAGAGAAAATCAGCTTATAAAGAGGTGAGGTTTATTTTGGTTCAGTTTATAGGTTTCGATCCAGGATCAGTTGGGTGTCCCTGTGGTATGGCAACACTTCATGATGGGGAGGCTATGGTAGAGCAAACCATTCACCTTACAACCTGGGAGAAAAGCGAGGAAGATACTGGCATCCCATAGTCTCCTTTGAGGGCATGCCCCCAATGACCTCCACTAGGGCCCACTTTCTAAGGGCTCTTCCACCTCTGAATATGACCACAGGATGGGGCCTAAGCCTTTAACATCTGGACCTTCGGGGGTCCAAACTGACCATGGCATTAGCTGAAGCATGGCCATAGCAATGGCCACGAGCTTGCCACTGTTCCTAAGTTCTTCTCTGGAAGGATCTGGGAGCGTTTCTCTCTGAGCCCATCACATGGTGACACTTGGGCTTTCCAAGCTAGGTTTCTAACATGGATCTAACATGGTGATTTTGCATATGATTTGCCAGCTTTCTGTTGCTGTAACAAAGTACCTGAGATCATCAATTACAAAGGAGCAAAAATTTATTTTGACCCACAGTTTCAGTCTATCGTTACTTTGTCCTGTTGCTTTGGGCCCATGGCAGAACAGTTCACCATGACAGGAGTATGTTACCTCATGGTGGCCTGGAAAGCCAGGTCATTCGATCAAGGTCCCAATATCTCCTTTGAGCGTACACCCCCAATGACATAACTTTCTTCCACTAGGTCCCTCCTCCTAAAGGTTCCACCAACCTCCAAGAGTGCCATAGGCTGCAACCAATCCTTCAGCCCATGGCCTTCGGGGGACTCTGCTGATCCAAATAATACCATCTAGTATTGACAGGGCAGCTGTCCGTCAGATGTTTTCTCTCAAACATGGCAACCACCTGCTCCTTTATGAGAGGCAACTATCCCAGATGGAACCCACTTCAGAAAGCTGTGAATCAGCTGTTCCCTACTGGGGTGTGGCCATTAGTTGACTGCATTTGAAACAAAAGTTCCTCTTAGTGCAATCCTAACAGTTTCATAATACAGTTCTATAATAATCTACAAGTTATTATCTTGCATTAACTTTATGTGTTGATTTTTCTCAAATATTTGATGGAAGCTAATTCTTATAGATCCCTGTTTGCAACTTTTGGGTTTGATGAGTTTGGCTTTCCTTCCCCTTCCTCTTGCTGCTGCTTTTTTGTGTTTTTTTTTGGTGGTACTGGGGTTTTGAACTCAGGGTCTCATGTTTGCTACACAGGCACTCTACCACTTGAGCTTTTCTGCCAGTCTTTTTTTGCATTGGGTGTTTTTGAGATAGGATCTCACAAACTTTTGCCTGGGCTGGCCTTGAAACATGATTCTCCTGATTTCTGTCTCCTGAGTAGTTAAGATTCCAGGTGTGAGTCAGTGGCGCTCAGCCTGTTGTTTATTTGTATCACCTTCATTTATTCCTTTTTCATCCCTTCAGAAAATACTTTTTGGGTGCTCATACTTGCTATGCCACAAAGCGAATATGTTGTATGCTTTAACATTGCTTAGCATTGAGTGACAGCAATAGGAAAACAAACACACAATTATTACAGAGTGGGGAGGATGCTATATATATTGGTGTTTTGAAGGAGGGGGAATGGGACTGGGGTTTGAACTCAGGGCCTCGACTTGCAAGGCAGGCCCTGTACTGCTTGAGCCACAGCTCCTCCCTACTTTTAAACTATATGATAAAGTCATGGTGGCTTGTAAATTGAATCGTGATTATCCTTAGGTTCTTTCTCTTTTGCACATTTAGTGATAGCTCCACCATCGGGCTGGTCAGAAATTCTAATATTTTAATTACGAAGTGAAGTTGTTATGAATTAAGGTACTGTAATTTACAGTTCCTTACTGTCCTTACCTCTTTCTAGAAAGGTAGCTTCTTCTTTTTTTTCTATTAAAGGAAGTGTGTGTGTGTGTGTGTGTGTGTGTGTGTGTGTGTGTGTGTTTTGAAACAGGGTCTCCCTGTGTATCCCAGGCTGACCTTAAACTTGTGATTCTCCTGCCTCAGCCTCCAGAGTGCTGGGATTGCAGGCATGTATCACTACATCCAGCTTATTCTTGCTGTTGGTTGGGCATGTGCTTAAGGAAGGCAAACTACCTCAGTAGTACAGTATTTATAAGACTGACTTGCTACCTACTGTGCTAATAGCTCCTAATACTACAGTATTTACTTCGACTGTGTGTGTCTGCATTGGCAGAAAAAGGAAGCCAGGCGTGCCATGTAGCATTAGGCAAAATGAAACACGACTCAGAGATTACTTGCTTGTTTGTATTTCCATTATCTTTCTTTTGCTTGCATTGACTATTCAGAGATGACTGTTCTGTGAAAAGTATATTTGGAAAAGGCAATGTTTTTGGAGGGATAATGAAGCAAAGGAAGTGGTTAGAAAGTAACATTTATGATAAAATTACATGCTCCTGAATCTTTTAAGATATAAAAATGTAACAAAAGGTAGTACATTGAAAGCCATAACATTTATGAAGAAAATCACATTTCACCTACTTGGTAAAGCTTTCTGTTAATAGGTTTGCTGATGCTGTGAACTTTGCCAGTTGTTTGAAATACTTCTGCCTCACCTTTGGTCTTCTGAGGATCTCTGGGGGCCAAGCCTCCATCCAGGGAAGTTTTCCTACAGTGACTTACAATTCCCAGAAGGAACTAGATGGGGGTGTGGGATCTTGTAGAAGTAAATATTTCCATGATGAGAAGATGATCTTTTAGAGAGACCCCAGATTCTTCCTGTCAGGTTGTGGCCATGTCAGTTACCCTGCTGTGTGCCTATTGTTTCTGTAGCTGGCATGTGTTTTTCACAAGTTTCTGTTCTTGGTTCTGCACTGTCTTCCAGTATATTAGAACTTCTTATGATACCAAATTGGATCATCTGTTACATTTAATGTTGGAAGAGTGGAAGATGGAGCTGCCAAAGCTTGTGATTTCTGTCCATGGAGGTCTCCAGAATTTTAAGATGCCCTCCAAACTTAAAGAGACCTTCAGCCAGGGTTTGGTTAAAGCTTCAGAGACAACAGGAGCGTGGATAATAACAGAAGGCATCAACTCGGGTAAAGCACATGTTATCTGTCTGTCTATCTTTTTTCTCTCCTTCCCTTCCTCCCTCCCATGCCCATCCTTGAAGATCCACACTAGATGTCAGCACACCCAGGAAGCAGCCTCTGATATCTCAGCTAGAGCTTCTCACTTCTGTCTCTTAATTTCTGCACCAGTTGCCAAGGGTGGTGCGTTTATATTTGTCTCACACATCAGGGTGAGTCTGCTCCAGCTCACTTAGCTGGTGGTGCACTGAGGTCAAGGCCTATACATTCAACTTAGTATTCAGCAACACATACTGGTTTAACAAACAATTTTTTTTGACTGAAGAGGAATGAAGGAAGCAAATGACAAACAAACAACAAATAAACAACAACAAAGCCCCCACAAAAAGCTGAATAAACCCACTAGCCTGTCAGTAGTAGGTAACTTGGTAGTTTATCTTGTACATTTTATAGAAAGTTATGTTTCACATTCTTGGAATAAACAAGCTGGCAGAGTTCTAGGTCCATTATATGGTATTTATTTTATTTCCAGTAAAAAAGGGATGGGGTGAGAAAGTTTCACAGAGTTCAGGAAAAGGTAGACTAACTATATATTAAATACTTAATTTTACTTATTGCTTTTTAAAAAAGGAAGTTTGGGTTAGGGCCAGCTAACCTACAGGAAGACATACACAGCAGTGTGAAGATGATTGCAGTAGTTCGTATGAGTGAAAGAAATAGGAAAGGAGAAATGCTCGGAGCTCCCCTAACCAACAGTCTGATGGATTCAATTATGGCTCCTCCAGGACCAATTTGAGCAGTGATCTCTGAACCCAACAGCATCAGTACCCAATTTCCAGCCCCGTTCTGTTTCTGCAGAATCAGAACCTGAATTTTAACACAACACCTCTAGGTGGCTCTTGTGCACATTTAAATTTGAGAAGCTGTACTGATGAGTGCCTGACTATTCTTGAGATGATCCTAAACTTTAATTAAATGTAATATTTGACAGTTACTTAAATTGAATGCCTCCAGCCTTCAGAATCTACCACGTATAAAGCATTTGGATAGTTGCTGTGGATGAAAGGTGACCCTAGGTTAGGGATGGGATTCAGCTGTAACAGACAAAAAAAGTAATTAACTAGAAGTTGATAGTCATAGGTTATAGTTGAGATATAGAGAGTACAAGGAAAAGGGAGATGAATTCTAATTTGAACTGAAGGCATTTCAAAGACCTGGAGAAGGACACAGCTCTTGGCATTGGTCTTGAGCAAGGAAGAGGTGATTGTTTATTGTTAGGCACACAGCTAGAGATTAAAGGCATGTGTAGGAAGAAGTGATGAGGTCACTGGCTGGTGTGTGCCATGTGTCAGAGGAAAGAGATGGTGAGGGAGGCTGGAGCCAGATTGGGTGCTATGCTGATGAGATGGGATTATCCTCTACATGACAGAGGGGTCTCAAAGGGTTTTGAATCAGAATAAATAGGTGAATGACATGGTCACAGGGAGTCTCCCAAAGATGCTCAGTGGAGAATTTGTATAAGATTGCAGGTAGGTTATCATGCTGAGTATGTGTGACACACATAGAGTCAGTACTATATATAGGAAGAATAAGTCTTACAATGCTGTACTGTAACTAATGGCCAGATAAAGTTAAAGTCAAAAGGATTTCAACTATGTGACAGTCTGGAAAAAGCAACTGTAGAAACAGTAGAAAGATCAGTGGTTGCAGAAGATTAACAGGGAGGGAGGATGAATAGGCAATGCACAGAAGATGCTCAGAGCAGTGAGAACATTCTGTATGATACTACAGTGGGGGATACCTGTCATTATATACTTGTCAAAACTCATAGAATAGATAACACCAAGAGTGTACCTTAATGCAAACCATGGTCTCTGGGTGATGAAATGCCAGTACAGGTTCATTGATACAACAAAATGTTCCTCTCTGGTCTGGAATGTTGATAGTGGGGAGGCAAGGCTGTGTTTGTGTGGTAGCAGGGGTGTAGGGAGAATTCTCTGTACTTTCTGTTCAACCTATAACTGCTCTGAAAATTAAAGTCTGTTACAAAAATAAGTCAGGTTACCGAGACTGGAGTCAAAGTTCTGCAAATTACCTGCAGTGTAAACTTGTACAAGTTATTTGACTTCTCTGTGTTGCCATTTTTGTCTACAAAATGAATATAAAAAGAGCTCCTACTTAAAGTGTAAATATATGTAAATCTAACCAACACTTACTGAAATCTTACTGTGTGCCAGTAGGTGGTGTCTACTATAATTATTATTATTTTTAATCCCAAGAGGCAAATATTAATGTATTATTCCTTAATATGTTAACTCTTGAATATTTATGTATATAGATCTATTAAATTAGTTTGCCTTAAGAAGAAGATATCTGCAGGTGTTTTGCTGGGGCACTGGAGAAGATTAGAGACAAAAATATTCAGAACATTTATGTCAGGCTTGGGCTTGCTGACAGGGCAATGCATGGAACATTCGGCCTGACATGATTAAGTTTGGGACTGAGGTTATAGGCAGAAATTGCCAAAATTGGGGAATTATTCAGGTACAGGGACCAGTGATCAGAGAAGAGAGAGTTGTCAAGAGAGAATAGAGGAAACCAAGCCTCAGAATCTAATTCTACCATGCCAGCAACTTTCCCTGAGAACAATCTTTTGCATATAATCATCTATTTGTATCTTTCTGACAGTCATTGTTTTGCATGACTTGTAAGTTAACATTTGACTTGCAAACTATTTGTTCATAGGAGTATCCAAGCATGTTGGGGATGCCCTGAAAGCCCATTCCTCTAAGTCCTTGAGGAAAATCTGGACAGTTGGAATCCCTCCATGGGGTGTCATTGAGAACCAGAGAGATCTTATTGGAAAAGATGTAAGTAGACAATCCTTTCACAACAAAAGGAAATGAATATGTATCCAAATTGCCCATATATACTGTACCCAATGTCTAATAGACCCTCAAATGTAATATATCCAAAACCAATTCCTATCTTCCCACTACATCCTTCACCTGTTTTAGAAAATGACAATCCCACCTTTGTAGTTGCTCAAGCCAAAAACCTTGGATTACTTCTAGAATGATCTCTTTGTCTCATGTCTTAAACCAGATCCATCTAAAAACTATCGTAGCACCATTTTTTTTTTGTGACACTGGAGCTTGAGCTCAGGGCCTTCACCTTGAGCCATTCTACCTGCCCTATTTTTTTGTGAAGGGTTTTTTTGAGATAGGGTCTCATGGGATTCTTTGCCCAGGATGGCTTGGAACCACAATCTTCCTGATCTCTGCCTCCTGAGTAGCTAAGATTGTAGGTGTGAGCCACCAACACCTGGCTCAGTTCCATTTTTAAAATATACCCAGAATCTTCTCATTATCTCCATGGTTACGATCATTATCTGATGCCTAAATGATTGTGATAACCTTTCTTCCTCTTTCTCTTGTCTCCTACTGCCAGAAAAATTCCTCTAAAATATAAATCAGATATGTTAATTTGCAAAAGTCTTTAACGGCTCCAGTCCTGCAAGTAGCCAGTATCCTTGCTATGGTTTGCATGTAGTAAAATAAGACACGTTCTTAATTTGGTTCTTGCTAGTTTGTTTCCCTAGAGTTACTCTGTGTTTCATTTGTCTTCATGTATTGATTCTTTAATCCTATCTCTGTGTTCATCTAAACAGAATGTACTTGCCTAAGTCTATTTATAAGATATGTAGGTTTTTTGGTAAAGTTATCAGATGTTAGAGAAAAGGTATAAAGAAGAAAGATAACTACTGTTAATACTTTAGTGTGTTACACCAGATTTTTTCCACATGTTTATGTAGAGGAAGTTAAAAATACATATTATAAAAAGTAACAACAGAAACTCACTGCTATGAGTCTGTGTTTTTAACTTGACTATTTAATGTAGGCAGTTCTCTCTGACAGTTAATGTAGACATGCTCAGGTTTATTTTAAGTTTTATTATGGAAATTTTCACACATGTCAAACAATTGAGAGATTAGAATAGTGAATTTCTGTGTATTAATCCTAGCCCTAACAGTTTCAATTCATTGACATTTATGGTTCCTCTATTCCCTTATTCATTTATAGTAATAATGCTTCACTATTTCAAAGAAAATTCCAGACATAAAATAATTTCATCTGTAAATATTCAGTAGGTATTTCTAAAATATCTGAATGGTGGAGTGGCTCAAGTGGTAGAGTACCTGCCTACCAAGCCTGAGTCCCTGTATCCGCCCCCCCAAAAAAAATCTGAACAGTTTAAGAAAGTATAATCACAACGATGTTATCATATCTAAAAATTAACAATTCCTGAAAATCATTAACTATCCAGTCTTGTCAAACTTTTCATTGTCTCATAGATAAACTTTTTTTTGTTGTCAGTTACTGGGGTTTGAACTTAGGACCTTGGTCTTGCTAGACAGAGCCATAACCCCAGTCCAGTTTAATTTTTTGTAAGCATATATTAATTGTACTGAGTAATGGATTTCATTATGACATTTTCATACATGTATGTAATGTACTTTGATCATATTCACCCTTCTATCACCCTCTTTTGTCCTGCCCCCGCCTTCCCACTGGTTCCCTTCTTCTTCCCAAATAGTGCCTCTTCCTCTTTCATGTATTTTTTAAATCCAGGTTTCATATAGTCTAATAGTTTTAAACATTGTTTGATTTCATTGCTAAACATATATTGTATATTGTTATGAATGAATAGGTCCCTTGATTTTTTTTTTCATTGAATTACTTTTAATCCAGTCCCCCTACCTCCCCTAATTTGTTGAAAAAACTGACTGGGTCATTTGTCCAGAACAGGTTGCCAGTTTGGATTTTCCAGATTTAACCTCTTGATGCAGAGTTAGCACGTTTCTGTGTCTCTCGTCTTTCTTGTAAATTGGTAGTTTGATCCACATGTATGACCAGAATTGAATTCTTTCTGTGGAAATTTATGCTGTGAGCTCTGTCTATGATTTTGGCAGTCTTCGCCCAGATTCATGTTTTCAATAAGGTTGCCAATGCTGATATTTAATTGTAGCATTCTTTCTCAATTATTAGCTTAAGTCATTTTCTATCAGACATTTGTTTTACCTGGTGGTACAGTTGTATAGAAAGGGTAGAAAAAAATGTCTGATATTTTTCTCTTACTTGCCAGTTTTCAATATAAAGAGATGGTTACCTACCATCTTCCAAAGGTGAAAGGTGATTTTTTTCTTTAAATTAATGAATTTATACCAATTTGGTATATCATAACCCTTTAACCACCATCATTAGTATTCTTTGCCATGTTGAAATTGTCTCATTTTGACCACTACAGACTTTTTGTCTCTGAGTCCCTTTATACAATTATAATCTTCTGTCATAACTTCCTTGCCTTGCAACATGAGAAAAGATTCCAGGATCACTGTGTATATTTTTTTACTTCCTAGAGAGATTGCTGGTTGCTTATGGTGGGGCATAGTATTAAGGGGCCATAGATTGGGGGCCACAGGTACAGTTTGATTTTTCTACTATACTGTAATTTAATCAACTATTCCTCTATGATTGTCCTCTCAGGTGGTTTCTTTTTACAGACAATATTGTTAATATTGTGGTAAGATATATACATCTTTGGTCCTAGCTTGCGTGTTTCCCTAGAGATAGGTTGGGAAGTAGAATGCTTGGGCCAGATGATATGGACACTTCACAGCCTGACACATTGTCTTCAGGAAAGTTGTTAATAATTCCTTGTCTGCACAAGGTGTGTGGGTGCTCATTTCCCTGTACCTTTGCCAGCTTATGGATCTTCTGGGTTTTTATTATTATTATTGTTTTGGCATTTTGATAGGTATAAAATAATACTTTGCTGTTCTGTTTCTCTGATTTCAATATTCCTTCTCATGGTTTTTGTATATTTCCAAGCAGCAGTTTATATTTATGTTTGAGAGACCTTTTCTATGATAATTCAGCACAGTAACATTTTTATTTGTCACATGTATGGCAAACATTTTTATTTGTCATGTGTAATTGTCAGCTTTTGTTTTAGATTATTTATCATTTTCTCTTAAACAAAATGTGTAGTAAAATAATCTATCAGTCTTTTTGGTTTCCTAGGTTCAGCGTCATGCTTTGGAATTGTAAAGGTTAACTATTAAAGTCTAATGTTTGTAAAATTCATATGCTTTTTATGTACATTATTTCTTTGATGTTTCATAGCAACCATCTGATTTAGGAATTATTATTATCCTCATTTATATATAAGGAAAACAAACCTTAAAAAGAAGACAGGAATTACCCAGAGTTAAAGTTATCCTGGATTTAAACTTGGTCTCTTGGACTAAATGCTGTGTCTTGCCTCTTAGAGCAAATAACAATTGGTGCAGCTTAAGGGGGAGTCCACGTGTGCACAAAAGACCCTGATGAAATGTTGCTCAGAAGGTTGGCTGTTGAGCCTGTGGAAGGATCTTCAGCTCTGATGTCTCTTGTCCTTGCTGTCCCTCAGGTGGTGTGCATGTACCAGGCTCTGAGTAACCCCCTCAGCAAGCTCACTACCCTCAACTGTTTGCACTCACACTTCATCCTGTCGGATGACGGGACTGTGGGCAAGTATGGAAATGAAATGAAGCTCAGGAGGAACCTGGAGAAGTACCTCTCATTGCAGAAAATACACAGCCGTGAGTTCTGTTGGGGCTCAGCCAATACGTGTGGCTGGCAGCATGTTGAGGAGTAAGGCGCTCCCTTGTCATTTGTAAGGAGAGAGGTCCATGTTGGCCTCTGCCTCAGAGCAACCAGAGAGTTCAGTCAACACATGTGTGTTCCCAAAGATGGATAAAGCAGGAAATGACATAACAGCATTTTGGGTGACAGTTCGAGAGAGGAAGAGGTTTTTGGGGAACAGCATAGTCAGGGAAGGTTAGCAAGGCCTCCAAGAATCTACTGGGTTAGATAGATAGGGGAGAAAGGAGGGGAAAGTTCCATGTGAGAATGGGAATGGCCAAAGGGCAGAAGAAGATGAGCCTCTGTGGAGTAGGGGTGTGAACTTTGAGGGTCAAGGAAGAGGGTATTTCATATATGAGTCGGGTGGCTTCAGGTAGAGAAGGGGTTAAAACCAGACATGGCTTTTGTAAATCAGGGTATGGAATGTATTGAGGTTGTGCCTTATCACAGTGGTGCTTTGAGAAGGCCATTTGGGGCTGGGGGTATAACTCAGTGATAGAGCACTCACCTAGAATACGTGAGACCCTGAGTTAGATACCCAGCACTGAATAAACAACCCTATGCATCTCCCCTCCAGAAAAAAAGATGATGGTTTTGGTAGCATCTGTGAAGAAGGAGCCCTTGGGCAGAGATAAGAGAATTCATAATAGAGAGGAGGAGGGCTGAATGTTGCTTGGAGAACTAGAGACTTTTTGCTCAAAGTAGCAAAAAAGTGGGCCTCTGTTTCTTGTACTGAATTAAATCTTCCAGCAAATGTCCTCACCATTTGGGGCAGAAGGCCAGCAAGTGGGGATGCTCTTAGGAGGCTCAAGTACTCTTTACCCTTTTAGTGTTGGCTGGAAATGCGTAATCCTTTTAGTTTTGGGTCTTGATTCCTTGAAGCAGTAGCAAGTGGTGAGGTCAGACAAGTCACAACTGTCAGTTATTGCCTGTGACCTTGGGCAGGAGAGTTAACATTTGTCAAACTGTTTTCTTATTATAACATGGAAGGACCTGTCTGTCTCTAACTTCTGTTGCAAGAGCTAGTGGAGAAGAGGATGGTGTTTGGAATAGTGTTGGGTGTATAGCAGGTCTTTAATAAATGTTGTTTTTTTATTTCTTTTTAATCCTTTGATACAACAGTCATGTCATGGTTGTGGGGTAGAGTGGGGAGGGGAGAGACTCTGGGAATTGTTGCCAGTCACTAACAGCTGGGTGTTAATGAAGGTTTTTAGACCCATTTAGATCAGGGAAAGGGGAGAGAGGATCAGGTGTGTGGTCCTTGTGAAGTGGGAGTGGTTAGGGAGAAGGGAGACCAAGAGCACAGAGGGAAGAAGAGGCCAGAAACTGGCAGTAAAGACATACATCTATAGTGAGAGACCTGGAGGGGTCTGAAATATTAGCAGAAATGTCCTCCTGCCACTGTTGATCTGTGCTTCTACTTAAATCGCTCAGTTTCTGTGTACCATAAAAACCTGATGGCTATACCTGAGTTATGCCCATGAGAGTAGCAGGTGACAATTCTTTGCTCAAAAATCTTGAACTCAGGTTCTTTTGGAGGGATTCCCTGACATATGAAAATAGCAAAGACAGTAGTCATGTTCTCTCTCTCTCTTCTCTCTCTGTCTCATGCATACTTTCACACATGTATCCTGTAACAAGCTTCAAATTCTTGTGCATGGAAGCTGATCTTCACACCTAACATGCCTATAAGGAAGGTTATCTGCCAAATTTGTATTTGTCTTTGAAATTGTTAAAAAGGGATTTGCTTTGATTGAATGAAAATACTTAAATCTGTCACTTATTTCTTTGGCAAATCCTTGATGTTGGCACAGGGTATTTACAAAAAAGAAAAAGAAAAACTCCTGTCATAAGGTTGCTGGAGGAATTCGTGGCTTCACCATTGGCCTTTGAAAGGTGACCAGTGCCAGGTCTTATTCTGTAAGCCTTAGGACACCATTTCAAGATAGAAGCATAGTCCCTGATGCCTCTGTATCTCCCATAATTTCAATGAACTCTCCATGGAGAAGAGTGCCCTTTCCTGATGGCTGTTGTAGAAACTTTTAATTTGGAGATGTAATGTGGTTTTCCTGCCTTACCCTGGCAGCTAATAGTAGAGGCAGCTCTCTAGTGAAGTTGTCCAGCAATAACTATAGTTTTTTTCTTTTTCAGCAAATTGTTAAAATTTTATTATTTTAAAATTAAGATTACTTTCAAACTGATAGCTAAAAGTGAAAATTGTGCATATTAATGGGATATCTGTTGATCTGATAGATGTGTACATCCTGTAGTGTTTAATCAGGTTGAACCTATCTATTCCCCCAAGCATTTATCATTTCTTTATGGTAAATACCACATATATCTTTTGCTCTAGCTTTTTGAAAAAAATACAGATATTATTTCTATCTGTAATTGCCCTAGTGCAACAGCACACCAGAACTTCTTGTTTTCAACTGTCACCCAGAAACCATTTTTCAACCTTTCCCCTCCCTCCCTCCCTCCCCTTACTTAAACAAAATTTATATGTAGAATCAGAGTATTTTTGAGAAATATATTTATATTTTTGGAAATTAGTTGTTAATCAAAGAAAAGTGTCCCCACTAGAAAGTGAATTATCTCTTCCCCTTTTCCACAGATGCTCTTATTAATTTGTTTTTCTAATTGCAAATGTATTACACTCTTTGATAAAGCAAAAAAAGTGTGTCTGAGAAGAAAGAGACAATTTCCTGTAATCTTGCTATCAAAACTAAACATTATTTCATATGTATGCTTTCAGAAAATTTCTATACGTACACACAGGGAGAGGGAGAGAGAGAGAGAGATACAAAGGGAGAGACAGTTTTTTTAGTATGCATATATATATGCATAAGTAGAAAAAATAAATATATATATATTTATTTTAAGACAGGGTTTTGCTATGTAGTCCAGGTTGGCCTAGAATTTGCTATGAAGCCCACACTGGTCCCTACCTAATGATCTTCCTGCCTCAGTCTCCCAAGTGTTGGTATTACAGGCATGGACTGCCATGTCCAACACCAGAGCAACATTTTAAAGTGAAAGCTGAAATGATATGCTATCCATGCTTCTTTTATAGTCTTTCCCCACTAAAAGTGGATATATTTCCATGCCAGTACACATAATTTAGTACATAGCTAATGCCTACATTGTATAAGATATAAGAAATTCCCTTATAAAGTTTTTTCTAAGGCTGGAGGAGTGGCTCAAGCAGTAAAGTGTCTGCCTTGAAAGGTGAAGCCCTGAGTTCAAACCCCAGTATAGCTCCAGTTTTTTTTCTAGGATCGGGAGGGGGGTATAATTCAGTGCTAAAGCATTTGCCTAGAATGGGTGAGGCTCTGAGTTCAATCCCCAGTATTGGAAAAAAATTTCTATCTTGAAATTAATGAAATATCTATCTAAATTTTCTTTATTAATGGTTTACTACCTTAGTAAATCATTTTCATTTCACTCAGCTCTTATAAGATACTATCAGTGGAATCTTCTATCAGTTGCTACATTGTAGGCTCACGGTTTAGTGACATGGAGAAAATAAGGAGGTGCAGGTGAATGAAACAGGAACAGAAGAAAAATATCAAAGCAATTAAGTAGACTGACTACAGTATTTGGATGTCTGTCAATAGGACCACCCATAACGCTTGTGGAGTCTGGGCCCAGGATACACAGGGATGCCCATATGCTGTCTAAATATTTAAAAGCTTTAAATCTAATCAAGCCAACTCACTGTATAAAATGCACTCTACCCTTTTATCTTGACACATAGAACAGGAAGGCCAGGTTTAAGTTTAAACTTCTTAGATCTGGGGTAATACTGAGCCAGGACTGGCTGTGTGGCAGCCTGGCTCTCTGCGTCTGTCTACCTTTAGTTCAGTCCTCCAGTGTCAAGTTGGCATGATTACCTGGACACTCAGGCCCATGTGGCAAAGCTCTGTCTGTGTCTCCGCTTTTCAATGCTGCCTCTTGCTGTGGCAAATGCATCCTTGGGGAGGACTTACCTGGGGTAGAGGTTCAAGTGGTCCCTGGAAGCGGGGACACAGGGGTTTTGTGAACTCTAGAAGTAGAAGATGAGGCATAGGCTTTTCTTAGAACTTACGTTTGTAGACTCTTCTGTCTACAGAACAGTTGGGATGACCTTAGAGGGCCGCAGTGGGCTCCAAAGATATACTTCTCAAAGTAAAGTTCTTGATTGGTCAGGTGTGACTATGCTATTGCCTGCTAATATTTCTTCTTCTGAAAAATAAAATTTAAAACAATGATTTAAAAGTATATATCAATGCATGTGTGGTATTAAAACTTAAATCAAAGAAATCTATAAGATGAACACAATCTCTTTCAACATTTCTCCAAACACTCCCGTTCCTTCTCTACTGTCAATGGTTTAATGTGTATCGTTCCACAGCATTCTGGTCACTTATATAACATGCTGTACATATAGGTGTATGCATGTACCCATCTGAAATATATATCCATGTATAAGGGTTTGAAGATACAAATGGGATATCTTATACATATCATTTTATAATTTTTTTTACTTAGTATCTTTTTAAAAAGAATGGCTCCATGGATATTCTTTTTTTGTCTTTCTTGCTTGCTTTAATAAACTAATCATAATAAGAAATTCACAGTGAAAAATGGAATATATTGAAGTGTAAAGTCTTTGAAGTTTGAAGGAACACCATCCAATAGTGTTCCTGAAAGAACTGCTAATAAAAGTTTACTGAGGCACAGAATTGGCATTTCCAGGAGAATGAAGGGAGAGAAGTTTCCTCCAATTGCCATTACAGCTGAGAAAACCCCTCAGTAAGGGAGGTGATTAGTGTTGGCCTCAGGTCACTTTCATATTTATTTGCCATGCATGGTGCACGGCTGTAATTCCAGCATTTGGGAGGATGAGGCAGGAGGATTGTGAGTTATACAGTGAGACCCTGTCTCAAAACAAAACAATAAAAGTTTGTTGAATTGGAAAAGTGTTGATCATTTTTGAGATGAGTGATGGATACACTGGAATTCATCACATAGGTCTGCTTACTTTTTCGATACCTTTGCCACGTACCACAATAAAAAGTTAAAATTTCTTGAGAACAGCATTTTTTTAATTATTGAAAGGCTTTGGCTACCTTTTTCCTGGACAAATGCTTGAAGATGCTCTCATTATATTTATGCTACATTTTATTTGAAATACAAGTTTCTGGCTTGGTCTTGATCAAAGCAAGCTTGGGTAAAACAGAGAGAGGGCACCTTCGCAAACATTGAGGATATGTGGTGATTGAAAGACTTCTGTCTAGAAATGAAAGTGGGTGGCTGACTGAGCTGGGGATACTTTGAAACGGTGTGGTGCTGTTTGTGATTTGAAATAGGCTCACGACAAGGCGTGCCTGTGGTGGGGCTGGTGGTGGAAGGAGGCCCCAATGTCATCCTCTCGGTGTGGGAGATGGTCAAGAACAAACACCCTGTGGTGGTGTATGAAGGCACTGGCAGAGCTGCAGACCTCCTGGCCTTCACCCACAAACACTTGGATAAAGGGTGAGTCACAGACTCTTCCTGTTCGAACCTACGGTGACTACTCCTTCCTCTATTTTAATTCTTACAGCAGCGTATTTATGTGGCCTGATGCCCTTGGAGCACACAGGTTGAGGCTGGATTGATGTTCATGACGGTGTTGCCAACATGCCCCCAGTCAGGAAGGGTGTTATTTTCTTGGCTGAAGAATGGCCTACTTTAAACAGGGAAGCTTGACCTTGACTGAACTTTGGGGAAAGGTATTTCCAGGAGGCTGGAAGGAGGACATGTTCCTGTTCAGCTGAGGGAGGCAGCCAGTGTTGGCCCCCTGCTTACCTTCATGTTTACTTATCGTAGTAGAAGTAGCTGTTGGAGAAATCTATAGCCTGGCACATGTTGTGCTCTTTGAGACTTTGATTCAAAGAATGTAGTTTTTCTCTAGCCATCCTTATAGCTAGTGTGAGTCTTTCAGCATTGAAAAGCATGATGTTTGTGCTATGTAGATACAGTACCTAAGAACTAAAATGTCAACCCCACTATTTTTTATTTTTTAGTGGTACTGGCTCAGGGTCTTGGACTTGCTAGGTAGGTGCTCTATCACTCGAATCACACCTCCAGTCCCCACTAATTTTTTTAGTAAACATTTATTTACTGCCTATGTTCTGTCAGCTGTTTTTTTTTTCCTCCCCGTTCAACCCTTGGCCTTTTAATTCTACTCTCTACCCCCCATGTATTCCTTTAAAACTCTCCCTTTCCTGAAGACACCATGGATGAGTGATTCTTAAACCTTTTAGGGTTTCAGATCATTTTGATGATATGACATCCTTAATTCTGGAGATTCTCAGCCCTTTGGAAATCTATTGGCTCCCAAGCTCAGCCTTGGGTTGAGCATGATGGCTCATATCTTTAGCTGTATGGGAGGCACAGGTAGGAGGATTTTGGATAGAGACCGACCCTAGGCAAAAACACAAGATCTTATCCAAAAGGTAATTAAAGTGAAAAGGGCTGAGGTCATAACTCCAGTGGTAGAGTGCCTGCCTACCAAGTGCAAGGCCCTGTAGTTCAAACTCCACCTCCTCAAAAGTCTGCCTCAGAGTGTATTCTTTTCAGGGTCATAGCAGATCAATTCATTTTCACATTCAAATTTAGCCTTTTCCGGGGGCTCTTGGTTGCATTTACTTCCATCTCATTTGCTGTCTGGCAGAACTGTCCACAGAAGCCTTGTTGTCAGGTGGCCAGCTGAGTTTTCTTGCACTGATTGTTGCTAGCTAAATTGCTTCTCAGGGTTGCATCGTGTCACAACCATTTATTTCTCTGCCAGGATGCTGTGTCCTCAGGTGAAAGAGGAGATCATCGGCATGATTCAAAACACTTTCAACTTTAGCCGTAAACAGTCCAAGCACCTTTTCCAAATTCTAATGGAATGTGTGGGGCACAGGGATTCTGTAAGTATGATGAGTGGATGACTCAAAGTGCCTCAACAATGCTAATTTCCAGATATCACAATTTTTTAAAACAGGGAGTTTTTCCATTTTGAACTTGAATGGACATTATGCTGCTGAATTAGACCCTTAGCTGAGTAAAATTGGCTTCTTACTGCTCCCTCCCCATTATACCCCTCATGCTTTAAATTCCAGACTCTATCTGGTGTTAAACACTTAGAGTAAGCAATATTATAGAAAAGTTATCAAACTTAGTGAAAATATAAATATTTTCAGGAGATAAGGGAGCAGCTCAGTAAACTCAAGCCTGCTGGATTAGATGACCACATCATAGCATCCTGGGTAAATCTTGCAGGAGATCCATTGGACAATAGGAAATCTGAGAATAAACTCTGGAATAGAAAATGGAGCCCACAGACTAGGGGCAATGACCGTAATAGACTCAGAAAAGTGCTTTGTGTTTTAGGGTACTGTGATTAAATTTTTTATTAATGAATTGGATGATATGAAGCTAAAAATTAAAACAAATATGCAGATATGCCATGATTCAAAATGTTCTTTCCAGAATTGGAAGGCTGAACCAAATCATACAAGAATTTTGTGGGTGTTAAATTACCTAGCCTCTCAAAACCAATTGAACAAATTTCAGGCTAGAGAAAGTGTGGCAGAACTTATGTTTAAAACACTTTGTAACTTTCATCGACCTAATAACAACAACCATGTTTATAATTAGCAGTTTGCTTCTGACAATATTGTTTTTCATCTGAAATAGTCCCATGAATGAATTCAATATGGAAGTGACTGTCTATTTCAATTTCAGAGATGACGATGATGCTGACAGCTACTGAATTTAAGTGATTTGTGCAGCCATGCAATTAAGAAATGGTAGATCTGAAACTTTAGCTCAGTGGTGAAATCTTTTCTTAGTCTATTATACTTTGCATTTCCAACAATAATCAGGAAGTTAAGGAAGGTCATGTTAAAGAAATTGTTACTGCATTTGCTTCTTCCTTTCATCAAGTGTATAATTAATGAGCAGTGTAATGACCAAGAAGGGCTAGTGAAGGTAGCTGTGGGATTTCAGATTACAGCAATTGGATTCTGTATAGTTGGTACAGTTGAGAGTTGGTTTTATTCATGTACATAGTGGACACACATAGGGCATGTGGGAACTAATATGCGAAGTTATATCAGCATAGTTTATTTGTTTGTTTTGGCTTCATGAGACCTTAGAGATTTTTTAGTGGTTTCCTCTCACTTTGTGAATGAGTAACCTAGATTCATGTGCTCTTATGATATTTACCTAAAGCCAGCTAGTTAGTGGCATACCTGAGACTAGAATTTGTCAGTCCTGGCTCTTTTCTGTTAAACTAGCTTCCTGTACTATATGAAATATGTTTTCATTTGGAAAAGCTAAGACATATTCATTAATAGCAGGTGGCCCTTTATAACTATTAGTAAAGTCTTTATGTCTTAAAAAATAGGCATTCACATACCAGGATGTACTTGGCACTTTGACCCTGTGAAGACTGTGCTATTCATTGTACTTGCTCATGGGTCAATTGTAATTGTCTCATTTATTTTAGGACAAATACTTGAGGAGTCATTTCTCATTAAAAAGTCAAAGTCTTAGTTTTTAAGTTTAAGTGAGCAGACGGATCTCATTGGTACCCCTTCAAAAGGAGGAATAATTTTATTTGCATTGGGAATTACCATTTTCCTTGTAGTAGGCACATAGTAGGTTGCATTATATGTGGAATTCTTAGTTCCCTTTTTCCCAGGTGCCTCCAATTTTCTGTCACCCTATTTTTAAAACTTTTCTATAAGTAAAAAAAAATTAATCTCTATGTTGTTTTGAAATTACAGAATAAGGAATATTTTTTTTTGGTTCATTAATTCAAATGCGAGTTCTGTGTGTAGTGTTTGAAAGCATTTCTTTGGCAGCTCCCAAAATGTGTGTTTTCTGTTTCTCAATTATTCTAGATGACCATATTTGATGCTGATTCTGAAGAGCAGCATGACCTTGACTTAGCAATTCTAACAGCTTTGCTGAAGGGTGAGTGACTGAAACAGATTCGTAATTGTTTCTCACTTCCTGTTCTCACATTCCAGGTCACTTTGTGCTTCTTCCTAGGGATAGTTTGAATAGAATATATGATTGTTCATTTCTTTTATTCTAGGCACAAACTTATCAACATCAGAACAATTAAATCTAGCAATGGCTTGGGACAGAATGGACATTGCCAAGAAACATATCCTAATTTATGGACAACATTGGAAGGTATAGTCAAAATGAAGTTACTTGGAAAAATATTTTGTGTTTTGGTTTGTTACAGAGGTGAGAGGAGGGAAAGAGAAAACTGGAGGGGACACAAATAGCATCTTGATATCCAGGCACCCAGAGATAGTTAAGACATTTCTCTCCTGCTTTAACTCCCCAAAAAGTTTTCCCCTGGCTCTCAGCCTAATTGATGTGGAAGTAGGAAGTTGGAGAAAAAACAGAATGGAAGGATTTTTAACTTGTTTGTGAGTGGGTAGATTTTAATTTTTATCTTTAAAGTTTACACGTTATCTTCATTTTTACATTAAAATGTATATAAGTGCTCACAATGAAACAGTTAGGGATCATCACAAAGGGACAACAGCCAAATAAACTCTGGGCCCTTAACATGTTACACATTGAAAGCATGATGTGTGTTTTCTTCTGTCTCCATCCGTGTAATCTCTCAACAGCTTTATCATGAAGTACCAAAATAGGCCAGCCAGAATGTTTATAGACTAAGCCAGTTACGACTAAACCAAGCTAACACTAGTTAGGTTCAAAATTACTACACAAATTACAAACAAAGACAAAGGGAAATTATTAGTGAGAAAAAAAATCTCACCCATGAGAAGTCCTTGATAAGTCCCCAGAATCGACTCAGTTGTTTGGCAGCCTCTTAGAGCAGAATCACATTCTGGTGTAAGATAACACCTGTGGCTGGTAGATTATGATAACACTTGCTTAGATTACTTTGCAGAAATTTGAAAGCTGCTATGCCTGACAACTTCTGATAAATGAATAGAATGAGACAAAAGACTTGGCATCTCTGCCTTCATGTCATGTTTGTCCCTTTTGCTGCCTCAAAACCTTTGAGTCAGACTCTTCTCAGCTCTAAGTGCATGTAGACATGTTGATCATTTGAACAAAGTTTTATCCAAGCCTATAATATGGTTTCATCTTGCCTATTGCCCATCAGAGCAGATATGTTTCTTCTACTGCATCCTTGAGAGTTCTTGGCAATTCAAGTACTGCAAGTTCTTGACAGTGGTGAAAGTCCTTTAGCCCTGTCATAAGACTAGGACATTTATGCAAAATGATGACACCATTTGTAACTTAATAGTTCCTGTATGGAGTTGATTATCCATTAACCCACCAAGCACAAGGCCAGGAAGCTTGCACACAGAAGGGAAACATTTTTTGAAACTGTGCCCTTGAGCAATGGACAATTACTGCAGTTTAAATCACCCTTCCCCCCAAAAAGTCAATAAAAGTTTTCTCCTTTCTTGTTCAAGTGACTAACCTGGTCCCCCATGGTCTGTGCTACCTACCTTTGGCTCATCTCAGCTGGCTTGAGCTCAAGTCTCAATAAAGGAGACTGGTCTGTCTTGTTGTATTATGTGGCTTGGTCTTCTTTCTACTCTTTCCAAGATACAAGATATGCTACTAACAATAGAAATTAGTGAAAACAGAAAAAAGATTACTAATAATGCTTGATAATCACTGTTAAAATTTCATTAAAAATTTCAATTAAAAATTGTGACTATATCACAAGTTTGTCACATTTTGTGTTAAACTAATACATACACATTGTTTTTAAAAATTATTTTCAATTGGGATATATTCATTGTACAGGAGGATTGATTGTGACAATTCCAAATAGGCTTATATGGTACATTAGTTAGATCACCTCACTGTACCTCCTCCTTTCCCCCTCCCCATCCCACTTAAAGCTATTGCACGAGGTTTCTTTGTTCTATTTCATATAAGTTTATGAAGTCCATCCACCACATACTCTTGTCTTAATCTCCTTTATTCATCCTCCGCCCTCCAAGATATACCCCCCCACTGTACCTATTTACAGTCCTGTCTTTCATTATTAATATTTAAGGTGATATTCCAAGGGGTTTCTCAATGTGTCCCCGCTGTGAGTCTACTTTATTTTGGTCCATTAAACCCCTTCTATTGCTCTCCATTAACCTTTTACTTCCCACCTCCACCCATTTTTCAGTAGCTTACAATACATATCCTTATATCCTCTACCTTCACAGATGTTACGTTTTATATTTCTGATGCTCTGTCATTCTCTTTTCCTTTCCCTCCTTCCCTGAGTTCCACAGAGCAGTTCCACTGTTACAAACATGTTCTACATACGAGTTTGTATATGATCATGCTTGTTTTTGTGTATATGTTTATTTTTTGAATCTATCTTCCATGTGTGAGAGAAAACTTTGTCTATCTGAGTCTGGCTTACTCTCCAATTGCATCCATTTACTTTCCAACCACATGTCATTCTTTCTTTCTTTTTTTTGAGGTATGGAGCTTTCACCTTGAGCCACTCCACCAGCCCTATTTTTGTGAAGGGATTTTTGAGATAAGGTCTCTCAGAACTGTTTGCCCAGGCTGCTTTCCAACCTCGATCCTCCTGATCTCTGCCTCCTGAGTAACTAGGATTATAGGTGTGAGCCACCCGCGCCCAGCATATCAATATTTCTTATGCCTGAGTAAAACTCCATACCACATGAATGATCCACATGAATGGATCAGTTATAGGGCATCTTGGTTGTTTCCTTAGCTTGACTATTGTGACTAATGCTGGAATGAATATCGGTTACAGGTGTCTCTATTGTACCCTGACTTATGTTCCTTTATATATATGCCCATATATATATCTGGATCATATGGCAGATCTATCTTTAGCTTTTTGAGGAATCTCCATACTGATTTCCATAATGGTTGTACTAATTTGCATTCCCACCAACAGTGTATAAGGGTTCCTGTTTTGTCTATCCTTGCCAGCATTTGTTGATATTGCCCTTCAATATGGCCATTCTAACTGGGGTGAGATGAAATCTAAGTGTAGTTTTGATTTGCATCATCTCTTTTAAAGTCAGGGAAGTTGAACACTTCTTTGTGTATTTATTGGCCATTTGTACCTCTTCCTTTGAGAATTCCCTGAATTCTTGTGCCTATTTTTTTATTGGTAGGTTGATTCTTTGGGGGTTGAATTTTTAGAGTTTCCTGTAGATTCTAGATACTAGTCCCTTGTTAGATGAATAGCTGGCAAAGATTTTCTCCTGTTCTGCATACACTGTTAAAACATCAAATGATGATCCACAGCTACTAAAAATACAGTAGTTCCTTCCACAATAAGCCTCCTATGTTTGCATTTTTTTTTTTACTGTTCTGACATTTATAAATTTCCATTCTTTCTTTCCTTCTTTCCTTCCTTCCTTCTTTTCTATTATTGTACTGGGGGTGCATTGTGACATTTTTCTTTTTTGTTTTTGTTTTTTGTTTTATTATTCATATGTGCATACAAGGCTTCGGTCATTTCTCCCCCCTACCCCCACCCCCTCCCTTACCACCCACCCCACCCCCTCCCTCTCCCCCCCACCTCTTCAATACCCGGCAGAAACTATTTTGCCCTTATCTCTAATTTTGTTGAAGAGAGAGTATAAGCAATAATAGGAAGGAACAAATGTTTTTGCTAGTTGAGATAAGGATAGCTATACAAGGAGTTGACTCACATTAATTTCCTCTGTGTGTGTGTTATCTTCTAGGTTAATTCTTTTTGATCTAACCTTTTCTCTAGTTCCTGGTCCCCTTCTCCTGTTGGCCTCAGTTGCTTTTAAGGTATCTGCTTTAGTTTCTCTGCGTTAAGGGCAACAAATGCTAACTAATTTTTTAGGTGTCTTACCTATCCTCACCCCTCGGAGGTGCATTGTGACGTTTACAAAAGTTCTTAAAATACATCACAGTTGAATTCACCTCTTCCATTCATATTTCTAAATAATGTTATATGGCTGCCTTATGATTCATCAGTTTTAGAAGTCTCTCAACATTTCTGTTTGGGCAGGTTCATAGTTACAAAGTGGACAGATTGCTTTCTGTTCCTGGTGCTCAGCTGTCATCCTGGGGTCTACCTCCACCAACTTGAAGATCTCCTTTGTCTCCTCCTATGTTAGAGTTTATGATTTCTGTATCTCAGGACCTCTTCTTTCTTGATTTATTCCTTTATTTTGATAGCACAAATCCTTCAACAACTTTCTGAGAAAATGAGTATGGGAGATAAATATTTTGAGGACTTGTATGTTTGGTTATATTTTAATTCATGATTAGAACTAATGTTTCTTCAGAGTTTTGAATGCCTAGCATTACTGTTGAGAAGTAAAAATCTTTGTTTTCAGATATTTTTCTGTTGACGATTTTCCCTCTCTCAGATGCTTAAAAAAATCTTTTTTCAGTGTTCTGAGATTTTGCAATGAGATATTATTGAGAGTATGTATATCCATTATCCTGGGCATACAATTTCAAATTGACATTCCTATGTTTCCATTCCATTCCCTTTTTCTCTGCTCTCTTTCTGAATTCTATTTTCTGAATGTTAAGCCTTATCCACTGTTCTTCTAATCTTACTATTTTTTCCCCCTCTTTGGTTCTGAATATTTTCTTCAGTGTATTTCCTCAGCTTTGGCTTTTTAGCCTTCTGTGAAGCTTTTCTTTTCTAGTAACATGTGGCTAATCTAATAATTCCCCAAAGTAAATTTATTCTCTGGCTCTACTCTCCTCCTCTTTATGTTCAGTGGAATCTGGGAAAGATTTTATCTCTCTCAGGATATTAATGACAGCTTTTTTGAGGTTTTCTTTTTTTTTATTATTATTCATATGTGCATACAAGGCTTGGGTCATTTCTCCCCCCTGCCCCCACCCCGTCCCTTACCACCCACTCCGCCCCCTCCCTCTCCCCCCTACCCCCTCAATACCCAGCAGAAACTATTTTGCCCTTATTTCTAATTTTGTTGTAGAGAGAGTATAAGCAATAATAGGAAGGAACAAGGGTTTTTGATGGCTGAGATAAAGATAGCTATACAGGGAGTTGACTCACATTAATTTCCTGTACATGTGTGTTACCTTCTAGGTTAATTCTTTTTGATCTAACCTTTTCTCTAGTTCCTGGTCCCCTTTTCCTATTGGCCTCAGTTGCTTTTAAGGTATCTGCTTTAGTTTCTCTGCGTTAA